CCAGTGGCCCCCCTTAAACCGGGGCAATCCTCGAGATCCTTCAGGGGGTGTAAATGCCGTGTTTTCGGTGTGGCTCAGGTCACGGGTGTTGTCAAAAATCTTCACATTCATATTCCATAAACTTCATAGGAAATCTTCAAGGTTTGATCAACTGCTTGGAAGCAAAACACCCAATGGGCTGAGTGGTGAAAACCCCCGCCCCGCCTCGCCCTACTCTCTTCCAGCACCCGTCAAATACACACAAGGAGGGTTTTTCTCATTAGTGGCTCCAGTTTTTCAAAAAAGAGAGGGATAGGGGAGGACAGGAAGTGGAAAAAATGAGGAGGTGAAAAATGACGTATGGAAAGGACAGTGAAAAGAGTGAGAAAAGGAAAAATAAAGTAGCACAGAGGGGAAAAGGAGTGAGAGAGAGAGAAGAAGAAGGGAAGAGACAGGGAGGCAAGGAAGTAGAAAATGAAGAAAAAGAAAAAGAAACAAAAATATGAGAATACCCCGAGGGAGGAGTCGAGAAAAAAGAATAAGAGCAAATAAGAGTAAAGGATAACCCTCGCCCCTCCCCCCCCCCCCAAAAAAAAAGGGACAAACACGCGCACATTCGACACATAATCAAAACTCCTGGGTTCGATTCCCGGGCAAGGTGAAACATGAGTGCAAGTCTCCTGACCCTACTGCACCTGTTTTCCTAAACATTAATTAAGCACCAGGAATGGAGATAAAGGTATAAAAAAACCGACACGAGGGGAAAAATTTAAACACGAATACGGGTAATGCGATCCTTTATTGAGAGCGTTACGCCCACACGGTGAGCTTTATCAAGTGACAAACAGATCTGTTTGTGACTTGACAAAGACCACTGTGTGGGCGAAACATAGTCAATAAAGGATCGCATTATATTGTATTCGTGTTTATTTCTCCAAGCACCATGGAGTTAGTCGATTCTTGTGGGTAGCAGGAGGGAAAGAAGTTCAAAAGGGTAAGTACAAAAACTAGTAAGGAAGAGACACTACGAGCATTGATCTGCTGTTGTAACAACAAGGAGGTAAATACACACAGGCATAGCACTATCTCCTACCTGGACTGGTTCTCTTCTCGGCCACGTCCTTCAGGGTGAAAATCACCATCCTGGTAGGCTCGCTCTCGCCTTTCTTGTTCACGCCCATGACGGTCAACACGTACTCCGTGCCGGGTTCGAGTCCCGTCAGGGTGAACTCAGGTTTCGGGGAGGTGGAGGTGTTGGCCAGGACCCGGGGCGCCGCCTCCTTCCTCCTATCGTGGGCGCGGCTGGTGTGGGCGCGGGATTGGTCAGCGGAGAGGGTGAAGGTCTGGGCGAGACCACCGTCCCATCCGGCCAGACAGCGGACAGAGGCTCCCGTCGATGTCACGTTCTCCACCGTACAGTTGTTGACAGGGTCCGGCTGGGCTGGTAGACGGAGGGACGGGGCACAACAGGTTAGGAGAACTCACGAGATAAAGGAAACGTTATTCAGATACACAAGAATGATTTATGGTTCTCTGCACTAGGTGGCAGACGGCAAGGATAATCAGTTCGTATCAAGGGTCGAAGTACCCTCGAAGTTAGTCGAAGTGACCACGAGGCTAGTCGAAGCAGCAGTGAGGCTGCACGAAATAGCCAAGAGAGTAGATAAGGCAGCCATAAGGCTGGACGAAGTGATCATGAGACTACTCGAAGTAGCCACGAATTTAGTCGAAGTGGCTATGAGGCTAGTCGAGGTAGCAGGAGCTACCATCCCTTCCTCGGATCAAACCTGATTGCTCTTCCTTCCCGAGGCGCTTCTACATGAAGAAAACACCAATAATAGAGGTAGCCTTGAGGCTAGATAACTTAGCCTCGAGGCGAGGTAAAGTAGCCTTGAGGCTAGGTAAAGTAGCCTTGAGGCTAGGTAAAGAAGCCTTGAGGCTAGATAAAGAAGCCTTGAGACTAGATAAAGAAGCCTTGAGGCTAGATAAAGTAGCCTTGAGGCTAGATAAAGTAGCCTTGAGGCTAGTAGCCTTGAAACTAATCGAACTGCCTTTATTTAGATTTCCAAAACGCTCTTGACAAACGTTCTTTGTGAAGGACGAACAGGGAAGCCAGAAAAAACTTAGGAGGAATAAGAGGTAAATTATTATTAGAATGATTTAGATATTTCTCTCTTAGAAAGAAAAAGAAAGGCAGACAGTGACAAGAGGAAACATGTCCTCAGGAAGCGGGGGTAAAACAAATCATAAGGCAAAGTCCCACAAGAATCAGTACCTGATCCATTTCTTAAACATGTAAACTATTTGCTTGAAGGAAGACAAAACACTGTGATGAAAAAAAAAAACTGTGCAACACAAGTAATACAATGCTTCCGAGTTCAAACAAAAAAGTTCGGGATAAATTGAACAAAACGGAGCGAGGGAGGGATGATGGAATTAAATGTAGGCAGATGATGCGTAATTAAAGTGGGAGATAGCAATAACAGGACACATGGAACAAAGCAGATTGTGTGATAAAACACTGAAAATGTCGAATAGAGACCAATTTGTGGGTAATAATAGAAAAAATTGCCACCGAATACTCATATATATATATATATATATATATATATATATATATATATATATATATATATATATATATATATATATATATATATATATAATATATATATATATATGAAACGAAAACGAAAAACTCATATGCAACGCTGAAAAACTTTGAGACTCTTCAAATGTATAGAAGTGGAACGCTAAGAAACTGGTCACTACACACATTACAACAGATCTAATATAAGTAGTGAGAATGTTGTGTTCCTCCAGAACAAACACGTAGAAAAGGTAGAAGTTTAAAGACATGCTACAAAATGACTCACTGTGAATAACATTGATTAAAAACACTAAAAATGTTCTTGCCAGATGCGGGGGAAAAGAGGGGCAATGATAATCACAAATATCTTCCTAAAAGGATGCGCGAAAATACATTAAGATTTCTTAGCACCATCAACCGGAATAATAAGAAGCCATAATATGAAACTGAAAAAATGCCCCAAAAATATTATGCAGTTTTCTTCCCGATGTTACATCCACTAGGAACTAAAACAATTATATAAACAACTACACACTGAAAGGGGGACACCAAGAACGAAACAGCTCTACGGGCAGATATACAATATATGTAGTAACTGTTGCTATAACACTGAAAACAGAGTACCACAAGAAGATAACAGAGTGCAGATACAGAGTACCACAAGAAGATATACATATCTTCCTGTGGTACCTATAGCAACAGCTACTGCAACACTGAAGACAAAATACCGCGGGCAGATAAACAGTACCTGTAGCAACTGTTGCTACGACACTGAAAACGAGATACCGCGGGCAGAACTTTGCTCCTATACGTACCAACAACACTAAAGACAGGCCACAACATTCATAGTTCTCTTCCTGTAACTACAAACAGGTAATAACAAAAAGAAACACTCACATGCGTGTATAATGTGGTAGATGCAGGGCTTGAGCTGGCTACCGACATCGTTGCTGGCCCAGCAGAGAAGAGAGCCGTAGTCGAGGTGAGTGACGGGGGTGTAGGAAGCCTGGCTCTTACCGTTGCCCACAACCCAGAATTTGCTCGAGGGAATGTCCACCAGCTCCGACGAACTGTTGAATGCCCACCTGCACGGGGAAGGGAGCAGAGAGCAGCGTAATTTACCGAATTTTAGGTGCTGGAAAAGGTAGAAAAGGAAGTGTACTTGAAAACGAGTAGAATATTTAAACCTGCATTCCTGACAGACTGATAAGTCAGTAATATAGCGACATAGCGGCTCTACCACTGTATCACCGATTCCCTGTAGAGTAGTAGAATTACTGAGAAGACTCGAGGCTCACGAGGTGACATAGGAGGGGAAGGTACCTAGGGATTGGCAGAGAGCATGCATAGTTGCTTTGTATAAAGGCAAAGGTGACAAAAGAGAGTGTAAAAATTGTAGTGGAATAAGTCTGTTGAGTATACTTGGTAAAGTGTATGATAAAGTTATTATTGAAAAAAAATCAAGAGTAAGACAGAGCAGGATCGCAGATGAGCAAGGAGGCTTTAGGAAGAGTAGGGGGTGTGTAGACCAAGTGTTTACAGTGAAGCATATAAGTGAACAGTATTTTGTTGCAGTATGGATTTGGAAAAGGCATATGATAGGCCAGATAGGGGAGCAGTGTGGCAGATATTGCAGATGCATGGAATAGGTAGTAGGTTACTGAAAGCTGTTAAGAATTTTAACAATGATAATGAGGCTTAGGTTAAAGTATGTAGGAGAGAGGGAGCTTATTTCCCAGTAAAAGTAGGTCTTAGACAAGGACGTGTAATGTCATTTATAGATGGGGTTGTAGAAGTGAATGTTTTGGTGTTGGCAAAAGGTGTGGGATTAAGAGATAAAGAATCTATCACGAAGTGTGAGTTGTCACAGTTGCTCTTTGCTGATGACACTGTGATTCTGAGAGATTCTGAAGAGAAGTTACAGAGGTTGGTGAACGAGTTTGGAAGGCTATGTAAAAGAAAGAAATTAAGTGAACGTAGGAAAGAGCAAAATGATGAGAATAACAAAAAAATAGGCAATAAAAGACTGGATATCAGTTTGGAGGGAGGGAGTATGGAGGAAGTGAACGCATACATATATTTGGGAAAAGACATGTCAGCAAATGGATCTATGAAAGACGAGGTAAATCATAGAATTGATGAAGGGACAAAGGTGAGTAGTGCACTGAGGAGTCTGTGGAGACAAAGAACATTATCCATGGAAGCAACGAGGGAAATGTATGAGAGGATAGTATAGCGGTACAAATTATCTTATATGGGTGTGAAGCATGGGTGGTGAATATTTCAACAAGTAGAAGGCTGGAGGCAGTGGAGATGTCATGTCTGAATGCAATGTGTGGTGTGAATATATTAAAGAGAATCTGTAGCTTCGAGATCTGAAGGAGGAGCAGATTTCTAAAAGTATTATCCAGAGGGCAAAGGAAAAGTTGTTGAGGTGGTTCGGACATTTAGAGAGGATGGAACAAAATAATATGACTTTAATAGCATATAAATCTGTGGTGGAGAAAGGCAGGGTAGGGGATCATCCTAGGGAAGGTTGGAGGGAAGGGGTAAGGGAGGTTTTGAGTGCGAGGGTCTTGGACTTCCGGCAAGCGTGCGTGAGCATGTTAGAGACGAGCTGTTGGAGATGAATGGTTTTTATGACTGGACATGTTGTTGGAGTATTACCCTTGGTAATGAAAATAACCCTCGAAGCTATAATCTAGGTGAAGTAGAGCTTGGTCATACAGAATGTGAAAAAGACTTGGGAGTCATGGTAAGCAGAAATCTAAAGCCAAGACAGCAGTGCCTTAGTGTGCGCAACAAGGCCAACAGATTACTTGGATTTATCTCAAGAAGTATAAGTAACAGAAGTCCAAAAGTTATTTTACAGCTCTATACATCACTAGTGAGGCCTCATTTAGATTATGCTGCTCAGTTTTGGTCCCCTTACTACAGGATGGACATAGACTCGTTAGAGAACATACAGAGAAGAATGACTAAAATGATTTACTGTGTAAGGAACCTCCCGTATGAAGATAGACTTAAAGCCTTAAATATCCACTCTCTGGAGAGGCGTAGAATGAGGGGAGATATCATTGAAGTGTATAAGTGGATGACGGGGATAAACAAGGGAGACATTAATAAAGTACTGAGGGTGTCGAACCAGGTAAGAACCAGGAATAATGGATTTAAGTTGGATAAATTTAGATTTAGAAATGACATAGGTAAGTACTGGTTTTCTAACAGAGTTGTAGATGCGTGGAACAGTCTTCCTAGTGGGGTGATAGAGGTTAGGACCTTGGGTAGCTTTAAGAAGAGACTGGACAAATATATGAGTGGGAGGGGCTGGGTTTGATTGGTGTCAAGGGGTACGGGAGTTATTTCTTGAGTAGCTTTAGGTAGATGTCGTTTTGATAAGGACCTGCCTCGTATGGGCCAGTAGGCCTTCTGCAGTGTTCCTACATTCTTATGTTCTTATGTTATGAGCAAATTATCATTTATGAAGGGATTCAGGGAAACCGGTTAGCCAGACTTGAGTCCTGGAGGTGGAAAGTACAATGCCTGCACTCTGATGGAGGGGTGTTTATATGTTGCAGTTTTTTAACTGTAGTGTAGGCACGCCTCTTGAAAAACAGTGATGGAGTGAATGACGATGAAGAAAGTGTTTCTTGTTTTTCGGGTCACCCTGCCTCAGTGGAAAACGGCCGATGTTTATAATATATATATATATATATATATATATATATATATATATATATATATATATATATATATATTATAATATATTATATACATATATATTTCAATAAAAATATAAGAAAGTACCACCTCTATAGTTGGACTGGGGACCCTCATCCTCAGAGAAGACAATAATCGTACCTCAGGGAAAACTCAAGGTTCTCCCCGGAGCTGTTTGAATATTTTCTTCTCCTACCACCCCCTATATTTTATATTTTATGTGAACATTTATTAATACACATAATACGTTTACAGAAAACACAAACATGAATACAATGGTACAATATATTAAACATCATGAATTTCCTCCAGCTCCTCTGAAGCCGGACGCGAGCCAATTATGCAGCAAGCATTTCCCCTCTGGATGGCCATGCTGAGGCACTGGAACATGAAAGTGGCTGCCCTTGGGTCCCTGGTGGTGTCGTTGAGTCTGGAACCCAATTATTTAAGGAAACGTGTGGAATTTTGTCCCCATGATCCCAAGATCTCTGATCCCACTGGAACAAATTGATACTGATGGCTCATGTCCCTGTACTTGCTGGTCTTGTACTCCTCCCTGTGGTCAGCAGCTTCTCCCTGTTGCCCGACACTGTGATGGATATAGGTGTCAGCCAGTGTGGACACACAGGTATAGTCCCATGCTAAGAGCTTGCCATTCTTCCAAGGATAGGTGGTGATCCCGTCGGGGCGGTTTGCTGGGTTGTGGGTATTGTTGGCTGCTAGTGATCGGGGCTCCCTCTCGGCTGGGCATCCAGCTGTAGCAAGGGTTCTCTTTGTGATGTTGTTGACGTCATTGTGTCTTGCATGCCAACCCTTGGTTTTGGAACAGTTAAGACCATGTAGACCGTATTGGTCTCCTTGCGCTTCACTTCAAATACACGTATATTCTGTGTGAATTGGGGCAGTAAGGCGCAGAGCCACTACAATACTGAGGGTCTTAGGGTCGAGTCGTGTTCCCATTGCCGATATGGGAACTGTTTGGAGGAAGTCCCCGGAGTAATGTGCACTCACAGCCTGGAGACAGGCAGTCTCCCTATCTGATGTTGCAGCCCTGAGCATATTGGCAAGCACGTTTTCAGCGATCGGGCCATCCCAGCTTGACTGTTTGTGAGCCAGTGCTGCACTAGGGTTTGGTGCTGGAGCAGCAAGAGTTTCCAATTCGGTTAATTTTAAAACTTCAAAGGAAGTGCGCTCCACAATGTAATTTTTATTCCATTATATGAGCCTGTACTGTATGGGAAATTCTGAACCATGTCATGCATATTTAAAGGTTGCGCAAAACCTCGTCTTTGGTTTGTCTGTATCGCAGATGGCATCCTCAGAATCGAGTGCACGATGTGCATCAGAATGGTGGTTATTTGGGTGTCCCCTCGAGTTTTTCTCAACTGCCCGGCTTCTGACGCGAGGTGTCACAATTCTCTCACCTGAAGCAGAACCTATTCTCACTTTTCGTTGCCTTATCTACCTCCAAACCTTTCGAGCGTATCCGGACAAAGTGATCACGAATGATGCTGCCATCATATTATATATATATATATATATATATATATATATATATATATATATATATATATATATATATATATATATATATATATATATATATATATATATATATATATATGTATATGTGTGTGTGTGTGTGTGTCGTGCCGAATAAGTAAGATTGGTCAATTAGCAAAAACTCGTTTAAAATTAAGTCCTTTCTAAAATTTTCTCTTATATGTTTAAAGACACATTTTTTCTCAATTATGTTAATGCAAAAATTAATAATTTTTTACCAAAAGAACCTTAGAAAACTTACCTAACCTTTTTATAACAAGTGCAATTTAATTTAACCTAATCAAACTAAATATATTTTAAATAACTTTACAATAATTTAATAATAAACAAACACAATGAAATATATTTTTTTGTTAGGTTCAGAATGATTTTTTGCGATATTACTGCATACACAATTTCTCGCTTGCCATATTCAGCAAGACGAACGTTGCTATCTAAGCCCAATTAGGAAGTTTTACCTATTCGGCACGACATACATGTACAAAGAGAGAGATGCATTGTCCCGTGGCACCTGCACTACGCTACTCTGATAAAACTCTCTCTGCTTTAGTTGCTCCCTTGCAACATTGCACAGCTCCTGATGACGTACTGAGAAGTGTGAAAGTGCTTGAGCTAAAGATTTCCACCCCCCCCTCCGTGGATTGTCTTGCATATATACTTTGTCCGCGGAAGCAAAGAGGGAAATGTATGAGAGTATAGTTGTACCAACACTCTTGTATAGGTGTGAAGCATGGGTAGTGAAAGTTTGCAACAAGGAGAAGGCTGGAGGCAGTGGAGATGTCATGCCTGAGGGCAATGTGTG